AATTGAACGATAACTCCCATTTGATGGGGGTCTGGGAGGGGATAAATTGGATATAGGCCTCACCTTTGTCATAATTTGCACACCCTTTTAATCATTTACTTCAAATTGAAAGTTGCATAATTATGAATAATTAAGAAAAGAGTGCAAAAAGAATGCATACAATGAGGTCTTCTTCAGTAGTAGTAATCTTTAAGTCAATCACAGAAGCACCACTCAAGGCTTTAAAAATTGATGGAACCTCAGCAGAGTCAAAATCAGCACGTGGAACTATTAGAAAATCCAACTCAATTAAATAGCAATCTTGTGATTCTAGAACTCTTTTAGCAATCGAAACTCCAGACTATGTCAGAAACTCTATTCTGTTGGCATTTACCAAACCAGAAGTGAATAGAAAGTGGGAAGCTGTCAAGGTTCCATGACCACAAAGTTTAACGTGCAACATGAAAATTTTCGTGTCCAGATTAAATTACTCACTGCTGTGGACTTAAAAGTGGAAACACAATCCTCAATTATCACACCTTGTGATGTATAAGAGCATCTCCAATCCTCACTATCTTGTTTTCAGAGTACAAATTTGGTTAAAAGCCTGATCTGGTATGATCATTTTGTCATCAAATCTTCCTGAAAAATTCCAGACTTAGCTTAAAATTCTGTTTTAACCATTTTTGATGAAAGAAAACTTCTCCAATCTTTACTCTTTTTTAAAATTTCATCAAATTTGAGTAAAAATATAACTATTGGAAATTTGATGAAAGATGTGGTTCATCTTTGACTTGGTTAAAAAATTGAGTCTCCCTTGATTTCATACAGATTTGATGAAATGGTTGGAACACACCTTTAGCTATTTTTTCATCAAATATGAATTTGATGAAGAATTGTATAAATACTTTCAGATTAAGTTGAAAAGAAAGCAAGTAATAATCTAAAATCAATCAATCAAAATTTAAAGAAATCTAACACCAAAAAAAAAACAAGTCCACAATTATAAGTAATTTGAGTAGCCAAATTAGAGATTGCACAAGGGGAATTCCACGTTATGTTTCATTTTTCTTTTTCTTTTTCCTACGATTTCTCAGCAACCATACGGATCATTTAGAAGGGGGAAAAAAAAAAAAAAAAAAAACAGTTCTACATTTTGGAAAGGAAAAGAAAAAAGGTTTATGAAGTTGAAATGTAACTTTTCTCTTTCGCCTTCTAAATTTATGCTCAAATCTTCCAACCAAACATAAAGTAATTGAATTGTTTTTTATTTCTTTTGTTGGAAAAATTATTAATTCATGAAAAAATTTATCACTAATTTAAAAATATTTTTCTAAACATACACTAAAATAAAATTATCTTCTTTTTTTTTCACGAAAATCGCTTGCTCTCGGTTTATATATATTTGAAAAATGTACACAGTACTTAACAGGCTTGTTTCCCATCTTCAGTGAGAGCGAGCGAGAGAGAGAGAGAGAGAGAGAGAGAGAGAGAACTAAAACGTAGAGAGCTTTTGGAAGATGAAGTCATGGCTTTGGGTCTATTAGATCATATTCAGTTTCTCGACGGCTTCCTTCGCCTGGCCTACTTGGGGTATGTTTGGTTGCTAGGCGTCAGATGTCCATTCTTCGGTTATCTGTTTTTAGCATTTTGTGTATTTTAATGAAATCTATAAATAATGTATTTTTGTAATACAATATGGGGATATTTATCCACTAGTCCTAATTTATGAACTTATACTCCATTAAGGGGTGTTTTTGACAACATAGTAAAAAGCCAATTTTTTGGTTTTTTTTGACTTTTTTAGGTCGTATCACCTCTTTACTTTTTTAACACAAAAAAAGCCAAAAAAAAAAAAAACCACAAAAATAAATAAATCAAAAAGTCAATTTTTTTACTAACTTTCTAAAACACCACTAAGTCCTAACTAAGATTTTTTGGACGTTCAAGTCTCATTAAACCTTCAAACAATAATTATTCATCATGATTATTTATAAAAGAACAAATGATTTGACATTTATTTTGATTTTCAAAATTTTAAAACATCAACTGTCAAATTGAAAAAACTAGAAAAAAAAATTTTATGTGAAAAAAAAAAAAACAAACGAACGTTTTTTTGAAAAAATTGAATTATTTTTGTTTTTGGTGCAAAGCTGGAAATTTTGTGTCTATAAAGGAGCATGATGACGAAACATTGATGTGCAAAACTTAAAAAAAAATAAAAATTAAAAATTAAAAAGTTGATAATGTTCTCAGTTCTAAAACTGAAAAAAACTGTTAATGTTCTCATTTTATTGGATAGTTGAATCAAATTAATAAGTAGAAGGGAAAAAACGTTTAATCTCATACTCTGTTTTTTTTTTCTTCATACAATTATTTGAAACATTTGTAAAATTGATAATATTCTTAATTTTAAAAATTAAGAAAAACTGATAATATTCTTAGTTTTACTAAATAGAACTTATTAGTTTAAAAAACCTTAAATACGATCTCAGCTCCCATAATATTTGTAAATATTACTTTTAGGTAATTAACTCTAAAATATATATATATATATTAAAAAAATCAATTCAGTATGTTTGGTTTCAATTTTCTGAAAATTTAGTTTTTTATTTTTCGTTTTTTATTTTTTGTTTTTAATGAATATATTTAAAATTTTAAACAATTTTTTTACTTTTTTAATGCAACTTACTTAGATGTATCTAAATAGTAAAATATTTGTGAAAAATATTTTTAAAAATTAATAAATACACAAAAATACAAAAAATGTATTGAATTTTTTTTTTTATATTTAGTGAATTTTTTAAAGATTTTTTTCACAAATATTATACTCATTAAGTGTATTTATGTTAGGTGTGTCTAAAAAAATTTTTAAAAAAAATTTGCTTAAAATATTAAAAAATTCATTGAAAACAATAAAATACGAAAAATAAAAAAGTAGAATTTTTTAAAAATTGTTTTTTGAAAATCAAAACTAAACAAGCTGATTAATTCTTGTAGATGAAGTTTTTAAAATTGTTGAAAATAGAATAATTATAAAATATAAATGACTTTTTTGCATGTATTAAATAGTGAAAATTGACAAATAATTTGAAACGGAGAGTAAATTATTTTTTATGAAGGGCAAATGATAGAAGCCTCTTTACTTTTCCACTGTTCATAGAGTGGATTAGTATTAGGGATTAGCATCGGATATATTGATCTGTCCAATTCGACCGAACCGAATTGATCCGCACATTTTGGACGGATGTATAATGACGAGCGAACGGTTGCAGTTTATTTTTTTTCAATCTGTCTAGTTTTGGATGGTGAGCGGATTTGTGGTTCCTTTGGCCGCAACCAAACCACCAAACCGCAAACACCCCTAGTAATTTGTAAGGCTTCGTGTTTTCAATTTGTTTAGATATTCTATTTGTATTTTTAATTGAAAAAAAATTTAAATATTCTGTTGAAAAAGAGTTTTCAACTTGAATTTATTTTTTGAATTGAAAAAAATGAATGTATTATTTATCTATATTTTTTTATTTTTAAATCTAATTTTAAAAATAATAAATAAAAATGATGATATATGCTGGTTGATTTTTGCTTTCAAAAACAGATATAGATGTAACAATTCAGAGGCATACAATCTCTACTACTGCTCTGTTCATGGTTTTGGTGGTTTGAATTATTTTTATATTTTAAGAACTATAGATTGTAATACTTTATGTGGATGAGGTATACTGTGATTGTAATTTGTAGATGAGACATGCAGTGATTGTAATATTCTGAAGTTTCAAACTTGTTTTTTTTTTTTGGATGAAGCATGCAATGATTGTAATACTTTTTTAAACCATTAACTATAATATATATATATATATATTTTTTTGTTTTTGAGAAAGTGCACAACTTAAATTATGTTGAAAATTTATAAATTTTAAACCGCCAAACTGATTCGCATTAATCCGCCAATCTGCTTAATCTACATCCGCCAGATTGACGAACGGATACGGATTAATTTTTTTCAATCCGTCAATCTGACAAATAGATGGCGAATTAAAAGTTTCGTAACCGCAGCCGACTCGCGTCCACCCCTAATTAGTATAACCCACTAAACATACTTCAGATGAAGTAGGTCACCAACCATTCAAATTAAAGAGTCTTGATGATTTTTAAAGTGACTCTAAGTAATAACATGAAAACAACCGTGCTGGGGACCCCCAGTGGGGGGTGACCCCCAGCACCCCCACTCCACATGGGGCTCTGTGATTGGTAGATAGGAAAAAAAAAAAAAAAATTCCAGCCAATAAGAAAACACTGGGGTCACTGGGGGTTTGAAAAACTGGGGGTGCAAATCATTTTTAAAGTAATAAATACAATAGTGATTAAATTTCAATATAAAATGTCAGGTATTATTAGGTGATATCTTATCATTGACTATAGTGACACATCAAATACTACATTGATTTGATAGTATTATTAGAATCTGAGCTGAAAGTGATATTGCTGACTTTCGTATTTAGTTGTCAACATGAGAGTAAGCACTGAATTAGTACAAATTTGATTTGGTCGGTTTCAATTATTAGGTCTCTTGCCAACAATTTTGTTTAGCAATGCTTTTTTTTTTTTCTTTTTTTTTGGAATAACAAACATAACAAGAGTTTCGAACACACACAAACAGAGAGGATTAGTTCCAGTATCGGAAATGACATCTACATCCTGATTTTCTTCTTTGTGAATATGAGATATGGAGCTATTGCATCTTTGTAAAGGAAATCTCGAGTCTTCAACCAAAGTTACAATTTTACAAGGAAAGTTCACGTTAGCCCCTTTCTTGGATCAACTTGACTGCTATTTCAAATGAAGATTATATCTCATTGAATATTTCCTATTTCCATGTCAATTATGAAGAGTGAGTTGAAGAAAATACAATCAAACTAATTAAAAGAAAGAGAAAATATATATATATATATATCCCTTCTTTTGCGATTTCAAGATTTGTTTTGAAGATCTTAAGTTAAATTTTGCATCAGCTACACAGGTTTTGTTCTAGTAGTCAAAGGTACCAAGAAAGAGAATTTCCATTGCAGATAACAAAGATGTAAATTTATGTCGAATAACAGTGCCAAATGTAATTTTACAAAAGATGTCTGGTACAAAACTTACAAGGACTAAAATTAAGTCTGATGGCAAAAGCGTCAATCAAAATTCCAAGCGAGCCATCCAAACATTAACAGCCTTTTATTTCGATTGATTCATACAAGCCAAGATTGGGGGCAATTACTAGTTAAGCCAAGAGAGAACCTTCCATTACAGTGATGCCTTTCCCCCGAAGTAGTACTCTCTGAGTCTTTTCATCTAAATGGAGGTTCAGTATGCCACCTCGAGCTGATGCCTATGCCAAGTAAACAATACAATACAATACAATTAATGAATGAAGAAAGAACACAAATGGCACAACTGCAAGAGAGAGAGAGAGAGTACCTGATATGCAACAAAATCACATTTCCCCAGCTTTTTTGACCAATAACCTGCTATGGCACAATGTGCACTACCAGTAACAAGATCCTGAAGAATAGCAGCAACATATGAAGGAGCAGCCATCTACTCTAATGAGAGTTCTTTGTAATCTGAGTATCACCATTAGCCATCCAGCAATGGATTGGAGGATTATGTTTGATATGTTATTTTAAAATTTTTTTTTTTTTTTTCTGATCGGCTTTCCTTCACTAATTATGAACATATTTTCCCACTTAATGAAGAGACACCTAGAAATATGAAAGCAGTAAATTTAAATCGTGACGTAGTTTGGGACAAAATGCCAATAATATATTACCTCATTGATCCCCATTTTAGGATCGAAGACGCGACTAAAAAAGTCAAACCCGGATTCAGGGGGAGCCGACCCTGTAATAATGACTGCCTTTCCAAGACATCCTCGTATTTCATCAAATTGGGGCTGTAGATCTGCAACAGCCTTTCCCGATGGCAGCACAACCTGCCAAAATGCATTTACATTCACTCTCGTTTAAGTACAAAATGAATATCCGTATATCAGTTGAAGTTGACTTCCCTCTCTGACAGACATCCATCCATGAACACACTAAAGTTTGAAGAGAATTACTCAGAATATCTTAGAAATCACATCACTCCCACCATTTATTTCTAAAATTGAACGATCACTCGACCTCACCTTTGGCATGATTTGCACACCCTTTTAATCATTTACTTCAAATACAAAGTTGCATAATTATGAATAATTAAGAAAAGAGTGTAAAAGAAATGCATACAATGAGGTCTTCTTCAGTAGTTGTAATCTTTAAGCCAATCACAGAAGCACCACTCAAGACTTTAGAAATAGATGGAACCTCAGCAGAGTCAAAATCAGAAAGTGGAACTATTGGCAAATCCAACTCAATTAAGACACATTCTTGTGATTCTGAAACTCTTTTACCAATCAAAACTCCAAACAGTGTGAGAAACTCAATTTTATCGGCATTTACCAAACCATAAGTGAATAGAAAGTGTGAAGCTGCCAATGTTCCATGACCACAAAATTTAACCTGCAAGCAGACATGGAAAATTGTGTCCAGATTATATTGTTAGATAATGTCTCAATGGGACCACATAATTAAATGTGGTGTTATCATTTATAAGAAGCCTACAATTTAAGTGATTCAATTTAGTTAATAGGCTTAAGGGTATATGTGTTATGGACCTAATGTGTAGATACTAGTTGTATAATTTCTATTTCTATGAGGGGCAGAAATAGAAATTAAAACATATTGGTTAAAGTTGGTTTTCATTACCTTTCAGTTTTAAAACCAATAATAATAATGATTAATTTATTAGTTTTTATTACCTTTCAGTTATGAAACTAATAATGGTTAATTTATTGGTTTTTATTACCTTTCAGTTATGAAACTAATAATGGTTAATTTATTGGTTTTTATTACCTTTCAGTTATGAAACCTATAATGGTTAATTTATTGGTTTTCATTACCTTTCAGTTATGAAAACCAATGACAACCTTTAAAAGGTTATGGTCCCTATTCCTTCCCAAGAGTGAAAAAACAAGAATACTGTTTTGTTTTCTAAATCCTCTCAAGGAGAAACATAAGGCACATAAGGGAAAGGATTAGAAGGCTCTAACAAAGTCAATATTAAGGTTTTATTGACAATCAGACGCTTCCGTTTAACCGTTCATCAATGGATTCAGGTATGTCGTTTTAGTCTTGTTTTCTTGATGATATACATGGTAGATGATCCGAAACATGAAATTTCATGTTCTGAAATTTATGTTTACAAGTGGTATCAGAGCGGTTATATCATGTGTATTGTCAGAATTGATATGCTTTATTCATTCTATTTAGTTTCTTGGAATCAGATTCTGTTTTTTTGTATTTCTGTTTTTCCCTCTGCTGTAAATTCTGTTTTGTTTTCTGGAAATGGAACATAATTCAGATGGGCGGTTCATTTTTCAAATGGTGAACATCATGTATTTACATATATATGTGTATATAATTGGAGTTGCTGCAGATTATATAACATATACGGGGTCACAAATTTAGAAATCTTTAAATTTAATGTAATTTCATACAACGTCTACAGAAATTTAATTTTCTAACATTCTCAATATAAGTCAATTCAAACAAGATGTCACAAAAGTGATCTCTCTTGTCTAGATTGTTTTATATGGAATGTTTTGAAGTTCATGTCTGTGTATCTCATGAATGACTGGTCTGGCGGATGGGTGGACATTGAGTTGGTGACTGATGAAGTTTGGATCAATGCCTGGCATGTCGTAAG